CCTTTTTTGTTTTTGTTGATTTTTTTTCCTGAAGTAGGGACCTCTAAAAATCGGTAGGATTCCACAAAAAAACTGATCGGAAAACCGAAGTAGCCCTCACCCCCACAATTAGGAAACAAGATCAACATCAAGCTCAACATTGAAAAAACCGACAATTTCAACCTCTAACAAGCTAGAATATCTGTAACTGTATATGAATGAAGCGGATAATAATTATCAAATCAATTATTGATCGATACCTGAAGACAGATATTTCTTTCTAATGTGTTCGATGAACTTTCGTCGTTGATTTCATATACACAATACCAAATCAGAGAGATCCATCCTACTAGCTGCCGCTGACAAATAAGTTCGTTTTTTTTGCGAAATTAAGATCCAGAGATTGCTTAGAAAGGGGCGTGCTCGGTTTGGTTATCTGGGCTTGCTTGCGACTGGAATTCGGTTGGGATGGATTCGAGAGGACTTTACTGGTTTGAGCCAGGATGTCAAGCATCATGACATGAGAATGCGACGGCTGAGGGAGTACTTTTTGAGATCGGAATGGAACTCCAGGCATACATACACAGCACATTCTTTTAGATAGGTGTTGCGGATGACGATCAGGGATGCGAATTTGAATTCCTGTAAGTTGTTTACATAGACGTGTGCATTATTTCTGGAATTCCGTGCTTTCACTGTGCATGATTAAATTGGTAAATTTTTGGAGAGCAAGAAAAAAGAATTCTGATTATAAACAAAAGTGGATGTAATGCTAGCCAGTAAGCATTAATTTTCAATAAACGTTTTGACAGCTAGATTGACATGCAGAAACACCCATAAACACCTTCCGACACCCTAAAACACACAAGAAACACAATTACCCCCCGTAACGTAGGTAGATCACCTTTTCGTGGTACGTTAAGGGATGTAAGATCTACCATCAATTCCTAGTCCTGACTACTTCAAACTAGGGGAACAGGATTTTTCAGTAATCAAAGGAACACATCTTAGTCCTTGTTACTTTTTATGCCTTGTTGATAGTGACAAGACTTGGCTTAGTCCACCGAGGATGATCTTGAAACAAGGAAAAAATGAGTTTATTAGTCTTCATCTATGTGATTCCTAATCTTCTATTCGTTGTTCCCTAATTTGAAATGCTTAAGACTAGGGATGCATGGTCATAATTGGTGTCATTCCTTAATTTTGTTGCTAAGGAATCCAATTTTGACTGTCAAGGGGCGTGCCTTTGGAGGGTGTTTCAACACTCCGAAGGGTATAAATAACGGGACCTTTCAATTAGAGTAGGATCCTTGAGATAAATGCAAGAATGACAACTGTAAAAAAATCGAATACTTCATCATTTCTCAATAGTGATGGAGAAATGCGACATGCACTAAACTAAGGATATGGGAAATACTACAATAGATCAAATTACTGGTCGCAGTGGTGTTAGGTCCCGAACAGTGGAACAAAATTACAAGCTTCGTTCTGGTGTTACGGAACTGAAAAGTGTTTGTGATGGCCATGCTAAGCAATATGGAGACTTGTATGTGACAATGCAACGACAGTGCTGCAACCCATTGAATGTGCATACAGTTATTCGTCGCAAGAGTTTGAAACCAATTTCTGCACGGTTTCATGACGAGTACAATAAGAACTTTGCCAAAAATTATCGAAGGTCGGAAAGTATGCGTGCAATGTCATCTGGCGGTTAAAAAAGCATGGATAATGACCAGCCATCTGCAGGTAAAATTCATCTTGAATTATTCATTTCAATCCCAGCCGTACGAAAGCAGGTCTATATTGTACAATCCGAGTTTTTCAAATTCACTCGTCATAGCTTACGTGAAGGTGAAGTCGTTGTAGTGGCAAATTTCTCTGAAAACTATTCTTTTGTTTTTTTTAAGTGTACAGGGAATTCATTATAATAATTTGCTGGCAGCCGTTCACACTTTTGCTGCCTACACTGTACACCAGAATAAAGTTGTACCATTGAACTGCGTCATAATGGCCGATACTCTAGAGCACAGCACAACAACATTTCATGCTTTCCAGCGCCATTTCATAGAGTATCTCAAAGCCTAGGTATCACAGTTGTCCAAAATCTCGTACTTCTCCGATGGTGCGGTACCCTGGTTTTTCACGAAAGCAAATTTGGGGTGCCCGCTGAGTGGCACTACTTTGTTACGGCACATGGCAAAGGACCAAGTGATGGATTGGGATGAACTTTGAAGAGATTGACAACGCGAGCTAGTTTACAAGGAGCCACTATTCGCACGCAAAAGGAGCTCTATGACTGGGCAATGAAGAATTGCAATACAAACGTTAGATTTGTGTCATCTGAGATCTGTTCCGAAGAAAAACAAATACTGTTCCACCGTTTTTCATCAGCTGCATCTATTCCCAGTATTCGTTCAATACATGCAGCAGCTCCTTCTGGTATTGATACCTTTATTATGAAAACTGTTTCTGGTGCCACAACTGGTTCAGCTTTTAGAGTTGTGGCAACGAAACGTGCAAAGCAAGTGGATTCGAATAATAATGGGAAGAAATCATCACGAAGTGCTAGCATTGAGAAGAAAAATAAGTAAATTGTAATTTATGTTTTAAATTGTTATAATAAAATGTAAGAAACAAATGATCAGATATGTATTATGAGAAAACTGCATTTAAAATTTTCAAACAGAAATAAAAAATGTTTGGCAATACTGTACAGAAACAAAAATTATAGATTTAGATTTCTTGTCTAATTTCCTTATTAAAACAGTACATAATGCAATTTGTAGCTTTATTTGTTCCGGAGATATGAAAAAAAGAATGTAGTGGTTTCTAAAATATAATGAAAAATGAAAAATGTGCCCCTTGATCGAGGGGTGCTACGATCAGCACACAACTTTGGATTTTTAGAATTCGAACTTAAATGAACATTCCCTCCAAATTTGGTCCAAATCGGAAGAGGTCAATTTCACTTTTGCAATTTTTGTGACCACTTGGCGCGGAATGACCCATATACATGTTCGAGTGACATATTTGTGTATTGTGAACACTACAAATGTTTTGTCTAAGCCGGGAAGCAACAAAGTGTGCACATTATATAATCTGATAAATGAATAGTCAAAATGATTACGTTTCAATAAGAAACATTACTTCGATTTTTCATTCATACATAATGTTTCTAAAATTAGTTTTGAGTATTCGAACAGTATTTTAATAGAAAGGGTATCAAATATATATGAATATGTGCAGCGTATTTTTCAAACTAGGAATAAATATTGATTTAGACCTTAATCTTGTGGTTAGCACATTGTGCAAGCAACAAATCAATGTTGCCGCATGGTTGCCAATATGGTCACCGCCAAACCGACATGAAACTTAAGCTCAACTCTTGATCGAGAATCCATAACGGCGGATTCAAATGTGCAGCGATCCCATAAGTCAAAACCATAGACATTTGTTATCTAGATAAAAATAATAAGCCCGGAAATAGTTTAGACACCAACCAACTCATATATTTTGTATGCGTGTTCGTGGCTAGGATACACATTTTTCGCGAACACGGCGGCAGATGTCAGTTTTGTGTTTTGATCAGAAATTTGATCGTACTTTGTGATATGGTTATGATTTTTATAATTTCATATTTGAAATTCATTCGTGAGTTTCTCAAAATTCTTTGCGAACATTTGCGTCTGCATTTGCGAAATGCTCGTACATTTTAAAAATCGATTAATACTTATGGTATAGAATAGGGAATAGACTCATTTATTTGGTGATTCTTTTAGTCATTATGGTTTTATGACCGTTCCAAGGAAGCGGGGTATTGTTTCCCCATATAAAATCAAAAAATAATAACTTTCACTAGTTTTCTCCAGAGAGTTTCTTTTGCATGAGTGGGCAGATAGCCATGAATTTGGGCTCAAATTAATCCTTAGGTATAGATCTGGTCAGAATGAGAATCATGATTTTTGAAATTCATGTACAAACGTGCTATGAAGTCAGGTTTCAGATTTTTTCATTCCGGTACTTACATATTGGAGCATGCACGATAGAAGTAAAATAAATGTGTGTTACTTGTATATTTAAAGTTTTTCTCGTGCTCTTTAATGCGGCGAAAACTTCAATTTGTCGAGATATTTGTTTTTGATTCGAGCCCAAAACTGCTCGAACATAATGTTACGCAATGCCGAATTTTGCTCGAAGGTCTAGTACTACCTTGTGCGTTTCACTCGTTTCGATATCGGTAATGTCAAATGTGGTCGAAACGAAAAAAAAAATACTCGGAGTGAGATGGGCAATGCCACCTCTGGTTATGATCACCTATGACCACTGTATCTTAAAATTCCATCCAACTACACATCCCAAGTAATATTTCCGGTTTTTTATGGTGTTCAAGCCAATTCTTAGAATTATAACTATCTTCAAAACCTTGATAAAACCAGAATTGTTAATTGGGATATCAAGACTCACTTCAACAATGTTTTCTCCTAGACCGGTCGAACCTTGATTACGATACTTTTAGCTTCACTCAGATAAAAACATCCATCGATGGCCAGTAATTAAAACCTCCCAAACAAGCATTGCTGAATAACTGATATGTTCCTCATTGTCACATGCAGTGGTTATTTTTTCCTCCCTAAACGGTCGTCACTGTGTAACGTAAAAATGCTTCTCTCGCGAATTTAGGGTGATTGTCGGGACGGTTAGAGGTTTGGGGGATGTATCAACATGTGTGGAATAAATAATGAATTTATCAGCCACGAGGACTAATTGCTCGACGACCAAATGGTGCATGGTTTTGGGCTCATGTGTTTTGACAGGGACAGTGTCAGTGGCATTCCAAGCATGTCGAGATGATTGTTATAGCAGGATGAATGGCTGTTTTGGCACAAACAATAATGATTGGTGATGGGATAAGATACGCGACGAGCGCGGAATGGTAATTTTTGATTGGATTGTGCATTGATTGGAATGTGATCTATGCGATGAATGTTACTTTAATTCTTTATAATCCTTCTATTTCACAGGATTTTACAAGCAAAGTCTTACGCTGAATCTAAACGAGTGCAATCCCAAGCCTCCAAAGAAATTTGGAACTCTCGATCTAGGCCTCAACTTCAACACAGTGAGATCCAACGTCGAACTGATAGATGCAACAATTCCACTGGACCGCCAAGGGTATGAGCTTCACAGTGGAAGACATACATCGGAGTGTTCTAATATGAAATGTATTGATTTTCCAGGTGGTACCACGGTTCGATAAGTCGAATAGATGCTGAGAAAATTTTACGGCCTTTGGGGGAAGGAAGCTTTCTGGTGCGCAACAGTGAATCAACACGGCAGGACTATTCGCTCACTTTGAAGTAACGCTTGGTTGCATTGGATTAAACTTCTAACAAATACTAACATTTGAACATTTCAGGAGTGCAAAAGGATTCATGCACATGCGAATACAGCGTGATCCGGAAACTGGTCATTTCATACTAGGACAATTCAGCCGGCCCTTTCCGACAATACCGGACATGATACGGCACTTTTGCCTGAACCGGTTGCCAGTTCGTGGAGCTGAGCATATGTGCCTCCTGGAGCCGGTCATTGCACAGATCCTCTAAGTTGTTTCAACTGACACCGTAACATTAGTTTGATGCACTTAATAAGGTGTTTTCTACATCTTGCAGAAGTTTGAACTAGTTGATTCTGACTTTATACGATACGTTCAAAATTTAAATCGAAATTACTATGGGGTAATCATTTTTTGTTCCAGTGAAGTATCAACTTTTACTTTGTCTTTATGATGTTTATTTGTACGCATTTTGCAGCACTTTAGACTCCTGTGCAAAAAGCGCAGGCTAGACACTTAAAAATCGACTTATTTGAAAGCAGTAGCAGCTTTGCAACAGTATTGGAAAGCTACACTTATGAATTCAGTTCTGAAATACTGTAAGAAGATCAATTTTTAAAGTTTTTTTTATCAGTGCGTAAATATTATCGTGCATTTATTATTAGTACAGGAGTCAAATGAGGTGCGAAATTTGCAATAAAAAGTTATTGAACATAAATAATAGACTGATGCAAAATTTGAAATTTTCGCACCACGGTGTTCAAACGGTTCCAAATCGGGTCCTGATTAACCTCCAAAAGTTTAAACTCATTTGATTGGAAACTGACTTGGCACAAACCATTTGAAGTTTATATGGAAATTACTATGGGAAAACAAAACCTTTTGTTCATTGTCTTTTAGCTTTTTTACATATTGTACTGTTAACAAATTCTATTGCTATTCTTATGGGAATTTTCATCAGCTACAACTTTGCAGAAAATCGTTTTTCAGCCAAACGTCAAATTAAATAGTTATTAATTGTTTAAGAGATTGATAATCTTATGGCACGATTAAGCAACTGTATTGTGGGCAACACTGTATTCTGCAGTGTGACATAGTAGCCATGATTTTTGTCCTCTATTCTACGCGCCATAAACACCAATGTTGCCTGCTGAACAGTTGATTGAGCATAATCATAAGACATCAGTGACTTGAATCATTAATAACTTTTGTTCCTTATATTTGATCAAAAAATGGTCTTTGACAAAGTTGTAGCTGAGAAAATTTTCAACAAGCTCAGTTATCATTTTCTAAAGTAGAGTGAACTGGTGAATTTTGAGATAGATATGAACCGAAATTATGGTTTCTCCATAGTAATTCCCATATAAACTTGAAATGGTTTGTGCCAAGTCAGTTTCTCACTAAATGAGTTCAAATTTTGGGAGACTAATCAGGGCCCAATTTGGGACCGTTTGAGCTCTGTGGAGCGAAAATTTCAAATTTTGCATCAGTCTAATAAATAATTCATCAATCCATTCAGTTGATGTTGTATTCGCTTATCTACCTATGTACCACCGTCTGTTCTTGGTGTTAGCAAATCATGGCTATTACTGTTGTTTATTTGATCCACTCAATACAACTTTTGGAAGCAGTACACAACATGGTGAAATTAAAAGACCAAGGAAAAGACTATTTTTTTAATACGTCGTAAAGTAAATTTTCCAAGCCTTTCAAACCGAGCTTCTATCGAAGGTGTTTCGCCAGATCCAAGAGCTCCTCATAATCGCCTCGAGGTTGCTACGCGGTTAATTTTGTACTCAACATGCACTTCTCAAAACACATAGGGGAAATGACGGCTTCGGCATGACAGACTATTTTCGGCAACCCAAATTGAAACACTATTTTCACTGGATTTTCTTACGAAAACACTTCGCTGAATGCATGCAAACGATTCTTTATGCTTTCAGCTTCAATTTGACTATATTTTTACCACTGAGAAAAAGCAATCTAGCAAGGTTTTCTTGAAATGAAACACACGCACTACAAATTGTAGCTGATTTCGAGTTGCCGATAATAGAACAGCAGATGTACATGCAGTTCAAATATAACGGTTGCCGAAGAAAAACTGGTTGCCGACAATACTCGCTCTCACTAGAGAAGATTGGAGCTTTGTAAAAGCGTTTCAAAACAGTTTTTGACAATTCTTTCGACTGAAATTGTTAGAGCAGCTGGCAGCAATAGATTGTAAACAAACCAATACTGCATATGTGTGCGTTCCTTAGAGAAAAAGGCTATAGAAAGAAGGTCGCTGCTTAGGTTGCCGAGAATACGTAAATTCCCCTAGCTGATATTCTTCGACGGTTTCCGTTGCCTCGATTTTTACCGTTCTTTTAAGCTTTAAGCTAATATGTCTTCTTCCTGTTTCCATAATATAGAAACTGGTCTTCCAATAGGTTTAAAATGCGCTCGAATCTGACGCAACCATAAACCTTTCAACAAATTGCAAAGTACCATATGATATCCTATGATGATTTTTCATTTAAGTCTGAGAACGCTCTGCAATAAACTACATAGGTGATAATCCAAAATAAGAAAACCCTAAAAAAAAAACATCTTCCTGTCTAAAGCAACAGTTACGATGTCAACGCTAAACTGATTCTAGTTGCAAGCATGAACGGCCTTAAAAATTATTGAAAATCTCTTTAATTTTCATTCAAATACAAAAAAATATGATCATCTGTGAGGTGCACCATGCACAATTTCTTAGTTTCGCTGAATTGCGTTGCGTTGCGTTTGTAACGGAGAAATTCATAGTTTGTATACTGAGAAATGTCATGTATCTATGATCGCGCACGGGCGGGATCCCTAGGTTGTGACCCTGTACTCAGTAAGCAAAAGTGGCCATCACCAAGTTAGTCGACCTCCTCATTTTATATTTTGGGACCGTATTTGGTAAAGTTTTAAGAAATACTGATTGAGTTATAATGTAAACAACCAAAAAGGAAGAGTCTCACTCGAATTAAAGATGTTACATACGGTTTCATGGAAATAAAGTTTAAATATATAAAAGTAGAAAAAAGAACAATCTCACCAAATCAGTCGAACTGAACCCGTAGCAAGCAGCTCTGTCACGTCTGGTCGGATGTAGTCGATTGTAGTGGTCACGTATTATGTTTAGAACTGCAACTTGCATCTCTTTGACGCGAACACAAAGAACGATAAGACGTCACGAGTCCGATGGAGGTTTTTTCTCAATTTTGAAATCGCTTGTCAATGTAGAGCCAGTATACTTTTGGGAATAGAATGCAGAATTCGCAAGAATTTCGCCATTCAGCCATTTTTAATATTCATAATTCAACGGTTGCGCTGAATTGTGAATCAATGTTGAACCGTCCTTTTCGAATTTTTTTTCTTGACTGATTCTCAGTCTAACAATAATTCGTTATTTGTTTAGTGCAGTGTTGGCAAAATCAGAAATCAATTGATATTTTCCCGCTCTCGTGCGCTCGCAATATCACGCGTGATATTGGAACAAAATATCATACTTGATATTGATTTTGCAAGCTCCTTTGATATTGCGAGACTATTCACAACGTGCAAAATCAAGCTAAGAGTTGACTCGAAACAAACATGATTCCATTGCACATCATTTTCTTAGAAAGAGAAAGCATAGTTTGCTATCTCTTTTTAATCTTCACCGATGGCAGACGCGAAGGGACTGCTGCAAGCCGTTATGGAATTTTCGGTTGCATTCGGGAGTAAAGCAAAAATCATTAAACTCAATCTCACCACAGTTTGGTGAGATTTGCAGTTGGTGAGTTTTGTTAGCTTGATATTCCGAGCTGCGATATCACAGCTTGCAAAATCAACCGCAGTTGTTTGCTTGTTGATTTTTGTCTACGAAAATCAAGTGTGATCTTGGGCGTTGGTGAGATTTGATTTTTTTATATTTTCCCAACACTGGTTTAGTGATCCGAAGAGATTTTTTCGCAGCGCTGACAAACTGCACTTTGCACAAAGCGGAATCTTGACTTTTTGATGGTCTGTTTGCATACGTAAATGCTTGAAAGTGAAGGGAGATAAAATGTGTCGCGTTAAGAGAAGTGATTTTATTGTTTTTGGAAAATGTGGCTTACATTTAGACAACATCGCTTCATAAATGTAATGTTTTGAGATGAACTGAAATTATTATAATATTGATTGAATTCAATACATGTATTCGTTTCATTAAGCCGGGAAAAAGTGGATACATTTGACAACTCATTATTGGTTCGATTTTTTGCCAATCTCAACATCGCCCAGATTATTAGATGATATTTTGCTGGCGCCGGTGGTGTAGTGGCAAGCGTGACTGATTTCTCACCCCAATGGGTCTGGGTTCAATCGCAGCCGAGATCTGTGGGATTTTTATGAGGAATAAAAATCTCATCTTCCTTCGGAAGGGAAGTAAAGCCGTTGGTCCCGGCCCATGTGTGTTTGAATGGGTGCGATATCCTACGCGGGTGTGGAAGCTGCCTTCCTTGCACATTCGATTGCCGTCAATGGATGAAGATGAAGATGATATGTATTTATAAAATTGACATAACTCACCATCAGGTCACAAAGAAATGATTTGTCTCTAGGTATTTGTGTTGCATCACTGTCTCTTGGTCGATTCCATCATTCTGGAGATTCATGGAGATTGGTGACATGCGTTTAAATAAACTTTGGCTTGGCCTACTAAGAGAACTATAGAGACAGTGTTAGCAGGTGTACGAATGAATCGTCAATTAGAACGATGTCGTAGAACTAATTTAAAACCAACTTCTTATTATAGTCATTATAAGTTCATGCAAAGAGGAAGAAAAGATGGAACAGAATATTTGATTATTCCATGATATTTTGCGAAAAAAATTTTAGACGGCTCACGCAAAGAGCAACCAAAGAAGTTAAATGTAACCAAACAAATTAGTTTGGCAGGATAGTTAGTAACCGATTTGAAAGTGTTTGAAGCCTGATGTGAAAAAAAAAACCTTATTACATGCATCAGACTAATGTATCATTGAATGTAGGATTATTTATAACATTTAGCAAAAAAAAAAATAGTCACTGATCACAAAGCGTAGAACCAGAGTAGAGGTTAGAGCTTGAATCCCAGAAACTACAAAAAGTAGTCCTTTTCTACCAGTACTGTGGAATATTGTTGTTCGTAGAAGAAAGAATAAGGCTCTCTGAATGAAGCATACGGCTAGGATCGATTTAAGTTCCTTACTACCCTGAGACGTGCAATTTCGTTTCTAGTTTGTACTATTTTGAATTGTGACAATAAATCTTTCTTTTTCCACGAAGAAAAGATTGTATAGGAAGAGTGTATTCAGACCCCGGTTGATAGTAGGATTTATGAACAGTCAATAAGCAACGTCAGGCCGTTTTAATGATCGTAATTTTGTGATAAACATGACTCTGTTGAAGATTTGTATTGTATCCGGTATATGATTCTTAATCTTGAGTTCCCAACCTACATGTAACTTATCCATAATCATATGGTTTCACGAGTTGGATATTATTTGTTTTACCAAAGGAAACCAGAAAGCATACATAAAGAAACGCTCGGAGTGAAT